CTGGGGCCTTCGGTGGAGACCCCTACAGAGCCACGGAACGCTTGTCTGAGTGGGGAACAGCACGCGAGTGCAGCCAATGCGGCTTTCGGCGGAGCTCCCGACGGGGCCACGAAACGCGCGGGGGAACCGCACGCGAGTGCAGCCACCAGGGCCTTCGGTGGAGCTCCCGACGGGGCCACGTAGCGCTGTCCTGGGTGGAGGAACCGCATGCGAGTGCAGCCACTGGAGCCTTCGGTGGGGCTCCCTACGGGGCCACGTAGCGCTGTCCTGAGTGGGGAAACCCATGCGAATGCAGCCATTGGGGCTTTCGATGGGAACCTGTTTGGAGACGCGAAGCGCAGTCCTGGATGGGGGAACCGCATGCGAGTGCAGCCGATGGGGCTTCCTTTGAGCCCCCATGGGGCCCCGAAGCGTTCTCCTGGGCACGGGAGGCGCATGGTGGAGGAGGGAGGAGGGAGGAGGGAGACAAGGAGGAAAGGAGGAAGGAACGCCGGGCACTGTCTCCTCAAAACGAAGGCCTAACACCACAGGATGGTTGGGAGAAACGAACGCGCACATTCGCATAGCGAGACCCTATGCACACTGCGGCCGCGAGCGTTCTTCGCGGCGTGATCCACCCAGAGCAACCGCTCCGCGATCGCATGCGCGCAGTAAGACACCATTTCAGCACCCTTCTTGAGCGCTCGCTCTGGCAGAGCGTTCACCAGGGCACCGCCCAAGTGGCCCATGGCATCTACAATGCCGCGCCCGCCTTCGCTTCGCCAGCGTCAGCAGCGCGGTTCCTCCTGCTCGCAGGCCCCGCAACGCTCTGGTCTTGCAGGCGAGTCGGTCTTTGGGCTATTCCCCAGAGAGTTCCGATTTGGCCGCTGGCAGCGTTTCAATGGTTTGATTTCACGAAGCGTCTGTGCCGCAATGTGTTACAATGGTGCGCGGTTGCGCCAGGATGTTGTTCCGAACTGCCCACTCTACGGCTCCGCTGTGCCAGCTTGGTTTTGCGCGGCGCCCTTCCCGATGGGAGTTGCCACTGCTGTTGCGCATCGTTGCGCAATGAAGTGCGTTTGGTTGTGCTTTGAGCGGCTTTTTGCTGTCTCAGCGGCGGTTTGGTTGCCCCCCCGCTTCCGCCACCCCCAACTGGAGCTGCACGTGACAGACAGACAGAGGAATATAGACAGACAGACACAGTCACAGTCACGGGCGCAGACACAGACGCGATCGCAGACGCACACAGACAAATACACACGCACACGCGCCGAGACACACATACATACATGCAGACATACAGAGATAGACAGACAGGCAGACAGACAGACAGACCGACAGACAAACATACTGACATACAGACAGACAGGCAGGCACCGACAGAGACAGAAACAGAGACAGGGACAGCGACAGAGACAGACACAGACAGAGACAGAGACAGAGACAGACAACCATAACCAGACAGACAGACAGACAGACAGACAGACACAAACACAGGCACGGACACAGACACATATACAGACGCAGACATACACACAGACACGCATACATTCATGCAGACAGGCAGGGGCAGACAGACAGACAGAGAGACACAGGGAGACAGACAGACAGGCGCACAGACAGACACACAGACAGACAGTCTAAGCCAAACAGACATCTACACATGTGGACAGACAGGCATATAGCAAACAGACAGGCAGCCCGGTATATATATACATACAGACGGACCGCCCAACAGAGACAGACAGACAGGCAGACACACAGGCAGAGACAGACAGACACACAGACAGACAGACACAGACACAGACACGGACGCAGACACATATACAGGCACACACACACACGCACAAACACACGCACGCACACACACAGGCGCACATACATACATGCAGGCAGAAACAGACAGGCATAGACAGGCAGGCCGAGACAGAGACAGAGGCAGAGACAGTGACAGCGACAGAAACAGGCAGACAGACAGACAGACAGGCAGACACAGAAACAGACATTGACACATAGACAGACACACGCAGACATAGACAAATCCATGCTGACAGGCAGGGACAGACAAAGACGAGCAAACAGACATACAGACATACAGACAGACAGACAGACACGCAGACAGACAGACAGACAGACAGCCAGAGACAGGCAGACAGACGGACAGGCAGACATACATACATGCAGACAGAAAGAGACAGACAGACAGACAGACAGGCGGACGGACGGACAGACAGACAGACAGACGGACGGACAGAGACAGAGACAGAGACCTTCAGAGGCAGACACACATACATGCGTGCAAACAAACATACAGGCATACTTCCAGACATACAAAGACACACAGGCAGACGGACAGGCCGACGGACAGACAGACAGGCAGGCAGGCAGACAGGCAGACAGACAGAGACATCATGCCAGACAGACGCATACACATTCACACATACAGGCGGGCAAGCAGGCAGGCGGGCAGACAGACAGACAGACAGACAGACACAGACACAGACACGGGCGCATGCACAGACACAACCACAGACACACACATACATATTCACACATACGCCCACACACAGGCATACATACAGATTAACAGACAGACACCGACTGACAGAGACAGAGACGTTGCCAGAGGCAGAGGCTGGAACAGAGACAGAGACAGACCGACCGACAGACAGACAGACAAACAGACAGAAACAGACAGACGCAGACACAGACACAGACACAGACACAGACACGGACACGGGGAGACATCGACACACACACACACACACACACACGTCAGACATTCATACATGCAGGCAGGCAGAGCTCGATAGACAGACAGGCAGACAGGCAGACAGACGGGCATACAGACAGAAGAGGCAGACAGACACACAGACAGACAGACAGGCAGACAGTCAGACAGACAGGCGGACACACAGACACACAGACACACAGACGGACAGACAGACAGACAGACAGACAGACAGACAGACAGACTGACTGAGTCAGACACACAGACAAACATACATACACGCAGACAGATAGAGACAGACACAGACAGTCAGACAGGCAGGCAGTCTGACAGAGATGCAAAGACAGACGGACAGAGACACTGAGACAGACATCTATGCAGACATACAGACAGACAGACCGACGTACATGCATACATCTGCACAAAGAGATACAGACATACTGTTTCCAGCGCACATGCATACATCTGCATATTGTTTCCACTTGTGTTCCGACAGGCACACACACAGACAGACAGACAGAGACAGAGACAGACAAACAGACAAAGAGACAGAGACAGAAAGAAACATACATACATACACATACTTACATACAGACAGAGACAGAGTCAGAGACATATTCAGAGACAGAGTCAGAGACAGAGTCAGAGACAGAGTCAGAGACACAGTCAGAGACAGAGTCAGAGACAGAGTCAGAGACAGAGGCTGACAGACAGACACAGACAGACAAAAGCAGACACAGACACGGACACAGAGACAGACACAGCCACAGACACAGACATGCACACAGCAGACATTCATACATGCAGGCATGCAGAGACAGACAGACAGACAGACAGACAGACAGACAGACAGACAGACAGACAGACAGACAGACAGACAGACAGACAGACAGACAGACGGGCACACAGACAGACAGACAGACAGACAGACAGTCATACAGACCGGGTCAGACAGACAGACAGACAGGCAGACACACATTCATACATGCAGACAGAAAAAGACAGACAGACAGACACACAGACAGACAGACAGACTGACAGACATGCACAGACACAGACAGACAGAGACAAACATGTCATACATACATGCAGACAGGCAGGCAGACAGAAAGACAGACAGACCGACATTCAGACTGACATACATACACATCTACACACATCTCTGTTCTCCCGGGTGTTCCGCGCCGGTGGCCGCTTTTGGGCCACCAGGGTCACCACCGAGCGGCTCGGGCTTGAGAGCCCGTGCTGGGCGGCCGCGAGGACGCGGGGCATCTGGGCCCGAGCTCAGGGCCCCACGCCCTCTTCGCAGGGCAAGGAGGCGCCGTGGACCTCCTCGCGGGCCACCTCCCACGAGGGGGTCCACGGCGCCGCCCCGAGCTGCTGGAGGTGGGAAGTGTCTCTAGTCGGAGGCCGCAAAACAGTGGGGCCACGCCACCGGGCGGATCTGTCCTGTCTCCTTGCGATGGTGTGTGTGTGTGTGTGTGTGTGTGTGTGTGTGTGTGTGCGTGTGTGTGTGTGTGTGAGAGAGAGAGTGTGTGTGTGTGTGTGAGAGAGAGAGTGTGTGTGTGTGTGTGTGTGTGTTCTCCTCTCCGACCTAGTCGAGGCGAGGATAGCGGAGGATCGCTATTCCGGCCCATCCGGGGCTTCTGGAGGCCTCTGGGGGCGTCCAGGGGCGTTCGGGAGCCCCTGGAGACCCCCGTGGGGGACCTCTGGAGACCTCGGAGACCCTTTGAATCCCATAAGAATAGAGTCAAGAACGGATCATGTTTTGCGTCGCGTGGCTTCAGTTTCGTCGGGCCTCCTGGCGTCTTGTTTGATCAAAATGAATCAGAGCCAGTCGATGCAGGCTCTGTCAGTTTCGGGCTATCGTTTCGTCCTTGACGTGGTTCTTCTGCTCGGATGCAGCTCTTGGATTTGAAACTGGGCTGTGGTATGTTCCTGGCCGAAAACTGTTTCAAGTTGGCTAGTTCCCTGTTGATCCGGTTTGGTGCTGCCTTCTACGGTGTAATCCCGGTTTTTCTAGTTTGATCTTTGACCTAATCTGACTCAGTGGTTCAAGACTCGGCCTTTATAGCCTGAGTCGTTCCGGCGAAAATCTTTCAGGAGTTGCTTCCGAACTGGCGATGTGCATGCACGGGGTATGGGAGCATTGCCCCAACACTGCCAGCAGGAGGGGCCCGGGCCCGCGTTGGCGGCCGCGTGGGCCGAGCTGTCGCTGCGGCGCGCCTTCGAGGGGGCTCTGCGCCTCGAGTGGCCCGGCCTCGGGGGCGGGTTGGCCGCCGCCTACAGCATGGAACTTCTGGGGGCCTGGAAGGGTGTAAAACCCCGAGGGGGGCCTGGTGCCCATGAGCGGCTGCCGGAGTCCCTTCGTCGTCGTCGTCGTCCTCCTCCTCCTCCTCCTCCTCCGCAGCCATGTTCGTTCAAGATAATTGAAGCCGTGGGTTTCACGCGGGGTTTCTGATCCGAGGCAGTTTCTCAATCCAGTCGGCCTGGTCCACCCCAGCTTTGCGTCCCGCCAGAGCGGGAAGACGCGTCTTCCGAGTCACCAGCAATAGGAGGCGGATTGCCCATTGTCTATGGGAGGCAATGGCCGAGCGCGCGACGGGCGAGGAACCAGCAGGCCGCGGTCGGCCAAACGAGAGACAGAGTGTATGAAGTGCACCCTTTGCAGCTACCCGTGGACGTTCTCCTCCACGGCCGAGTGCTGGCGGTGTAGGCACACCCTTGGGCCAAATTTGTGGGCACCATGGCAGGACAACGGGGGTGCAGCGGGAACGACTTGGAGGCAGTAGCCACCACATGTTCGTCGGCTCCAAGGCGGCACCGTGGAACGTGAGCACAGCGTCAGCCTGGCCGTGTCGGGCCGCTCCGTTGTGCGCGTTGGGAGCGACGTCGAGACCCTGCTCCAGCAGCTGGCCGCCACAGCGTCGCCCGAGCAGCGGGCAGCGGTCCAGGAACTGGGAGCCCGCTTCGCCTCCACGAAACAGAAGCAGCAACATCACCAGCTCCTTGAGCAGGGGGTGTCAGCGGTGTGCGCACGGCTGCGGAGGGCACAGGCGGCGCCCAGCACAGCAATCGAACAAAACAGTCGAAGCAAAGGCGTGGCTGGCCGATTCGCCGGTCACCTGCGACAAGGCAGCGCGCGAGGTCCAGGCAACCAGATCCGCGCTCACCGAAACCATGGAGCTTGCGCGAGCCAAAGCGAAACGGGCCTGCTGCATGAGGACGCAGACAAGGACAGCACAACCTCCACGCCGAAACAGTCCGAGCCCGTGATGTGCATCGACCTGTCCAAGCTGTGCAAATCGGAGGTGCTCGGCCTGCTCGACGGGGACATGTTGGAGATGGGCGATTTCGACGTGGACAACAACCAGCGCGAGGCATATCATAAACCCAAACCAAGCAGCAGCACAAGCTCACCGCGGCGACGCAGAAATCTGCTCGGGGTGCGGGTGCCGGCAATGGACGCCGAGCGGCAGGATATGCAGCTCGTGCGCGTCCGCCTCGCTGCAAAGAGAAGGGAGCACTCGCCGCCGTCATCGGGGAAAAGGACGCGCCGCTGGCGCGCGCTGCAGGGCGGCACCCCCGGTCCCAGCCGACGCCGCAGAGGGCGACGTCAAGGACGTCGCCGACGCCGGGGCCACCGCGTTCAAACCCGCTGCGCCCAGCCCCCCCGGGGTCGGGCAACGGCGGGGGGGGGGCCATGGGCCCGCTGCCACTCCTGCCGACGGTGCCCCGGCCCGCGGGCGCAGCCCCCGCAGCGAGGGCCTGCCAGACGCAGCCGCTGCCAAGGAATGCGCCTGACAGCATGCCACCGGCAAGGTCCTGGCAGCTGCGCCCATGGCGGCCCGGGCCGCCTCCGCCAAAGATGCCCTGTCTGGAGGTAGCGCGTGCGCTGAGCGGTCAGCCCTGCCCCGCTGTCTTCGAGGCGCGGCGGCAAGGTCGGCGCGCCGATGTCCGACCGAGCCACCGCTGACGACGAGCGCGCGAAATCTTGCAAGTGGGGCGACCACGAGAACGAAAGGGGGTTCAGGGAGGCAAAGATGCACGGGTCCGATAGGGCACCTCCTTTCTCCTGAGGGCCGACCCAACGGACCCTGTCGCGCTCTCGGATGGGTTGCCGGGCCTTTTGCGATGTGGACCGGGAGCCGGCTCGCGAACCCCAGGGTTCTCGTGTCCAGCGGTGCGGGCTGGGGCGGCGCCGACTGGGGGGCGCGACCCGTGCGTGCTGAACTACGTCTTCCGCCTGGAGATATTCGACGCGCCCTCAACGCCAAGGTCCGCCGCCGCTAACAGGCGCGCCTAGACGGAGACCAGGTCGACATCGTTCAGCAGCCGCCCCCGCGGCGCGGACTGCCCGCCGCGGCCGCGGCGACGGCGCGGCAGCGGGCGCGGACTGCGGGGGGCGCCAGTCGCCGTGAGGACGCAGCTCGAGCACCGCCGGGGGGAGCGAGACCCTTGCGGCCCGCGCCGCTCGCCGCGGCCCATCGGCCGCAGTAGTGGAGGGCGCCGACCGCAGGGGCGCACGGGCACTGGCTGGCACCGGCGACCAATGCGAGCGACGAGACCTCCGACGCAGCCAGGCGCGCAAGACTCACATCGTGCAATGCAATGACCCAGCTGGAGGGCGATCGCACCCCCGGGGGCGTCGCGGCGATCCTGGCCCGCGAGCACCACCTCGACGCGTTCGAGGCGGACAGCTGTGCAGGCGGTCAGGCGACGGGGGTGCAGGGCAGACCTTCTCCCCCGCGGGTCGCGCATGGCAGGGCGACGGCGCCGCCGGAGGCGCGGGCGTCGTCGCCAGGCCGCGGGTCGCGCCCTTCGGGTCGCCAACTTGGGGCCTGCGGAGGGCTCGCCCCCCGCCCCAGCCCGCCCTCGCACCTTCCGCGTGCTGGGCGACGTCGCGCCGACCTTATGCCAGGTGGGGCGGCGTGTGCATGCGTGTGCGTGCGTGTGCATGCGCGCGCGTGCGTGCGCGCGTGCGCGTGTGTGTGTGTGTGTGCGTGTGTGTATTGGTGTGCATGTGGTGTGTGTGTGTGTGTGTGTGTATGTGTGTGTTGTGTTGTGTTGTGTTGTGTTGTGTTGTGCTGTGCTGTGCTGTGCTGTGTTGTGTGTGTGTGTGTGTGTGAACTTGCGTGCGTGCGTGCGTGCGTGCGTGCGGGCGTGCGGGCGTGCGTGCGTAAGTGCGTGCGTGCGTGCGTGCGTGCGTGCGTGCGTGCGCGCTCGCGCGTGCGTGCGTGCGTGCGTGCGTGCGTGCGTGCGGGCGTGCGTGCGTGCGTGCGTGCGTGCGTGCGTGCGTGCGTGCGTGCGCGCGGGCGCGCGCGCGTGCGTGCGAGCGTGCGCGCGTGCGCGCGTGCGTGAGCGCGCGCGCGTGGGCGGGGGGGGGCGAGGCCGCCGTCCGGCCCTTCGCCGATGGCGGCGATTGGCAGATGCCCCCCGACGCCCCCGCGCAGGCGCGCCATTTCCAGCCCCGCCCCCACCACCATTATTACTTTGACGAGTTGCGAACACAAAAACATCACGATGTCCGCCTGGGCCCGTCGGACGAGCGGAGGCGTGAACGCAGCGGCGCGCGCGGTCGCGCGCGACCCGCCGCTGGCAATAACGCGAATGCGCGGGCGCCGCGGCGACGACGACGGCGACGGCGACGACGGCGGCGGCGCCTGCGCCGACGGCGGCGACGACGGCGGCAACGGCGACGGCGGCGACGACGAACATCGCGGCGACGGCGGCGACGGGGCCTGGGCCCACGGGCGAACTTGCGCCCCGCCCTCGCCCTTGGAGTCCCGGGCCAGATTCTATGAGAGGAGCGAAAATTCTGCGCGCAAATTACCACGGCCGTTCCTTCGCTATACTGAAGTTTTTTTCGCTTAAATGCGACATCGTTTTTTCCTGAATGCATCGAGCGGCGCACCTTTCCTAAAGTTCCTGCTTCGCTTTAGTGCAGCCGCTTCCTCGCTGTAGTAAAGCCGCGTCCTCGCTTTAGTAGAGCCGTTTCCTCGCTTTAGTGAAGTCCGCGGTCTGCCTCAATGCAGCGGCTAGGGCCTGGTCGAGGGGCGCGGGTGGCCCTTGTTTTTCCAGCCGGTTCACCCCGCGATGAATTTGCTCGATTCATCAGGGTCGCGTGCGTCGGGTCGCGGCGACCCTTGGGCGTGTTTTCAGAGAGTTGTGGATGCTCCTTGACAGAATATTCAGGTTGCGAGCGCCTGGCGTGGCTCGGCAATTCGGACGCGCCGCCGCAGCTGTCGCGCAACAAGACAAAAACACTTAACTAAAAGGCTTGTTTCCTTGAGGAAATAGCTCCTTCGAAGTAATTGTGTAAATCCACCGCTTCAAAGGGGCCCAGCTCGCCGCCGTTGCCCCAGACATGCGCCGCGGGCGGCAGAGCCAAGTGAGGCCCGCTAGCAGTGGCTCGCAGATCGCCCGCGTGAGTGGCGCGTTCGACGAGCTGCAGCGGCTCGGCATGGTGGTGGGGGGCGCGTTCGTACACAATTGGTGCATCACGCTTGTGGGCGCCAGTTGTCTCGTCAGTCGTTGGCCATGCGTGGGCGTGTCCTTGCGAATGCGCGCGTGCAAGTTCGCGTTGGCAGTCCGGTCCCCGCAGCTGCTGCGATGCAGCGGACCAGCCGCTGGAGCGGCTCTATCGGCCCGCGTCGGCGCCCGCCGAGCTGCGACGCCGCGCGCGAATGCGTTGACATGGAGGACTCTCGACCTTCGACAGGCGCGCGGGATGGATGTGGGCCAGCTGGCGAGCTGCGCCCGCGACGCGCAGTTCTGCGCATGGCTCAGCCATGTGGGGGCGCACTGATCGAGTGCCATGGGCCGGCAGATGAAGGCGGCAGATGCCGCGGGCGCGCGCGAGGCGCCCAGCTCGCCACCGTCGCCGCGGAGACGCATCGCCGCGGCAAGGCGACAAACCAAGGGGCGACAGAGCCAAGAGAGGCCCACTGACAGTGGCTAGCAGGCCATCAGATCGCACGCGCGAGTGGCGCGTTCGACGAGCTGCTGCGGCTCGGCATGGGGGTGGGGAGTGTGCTCGGCCTCTTCGGGCCCCCCGCCGTCGCCTTCCGCGGCCTGCCCCGCCCTTCGCCGACGATGACCGCGCGGCGCGAGCTGGTCCGAAAGCTCGGCCACCTTTGCGTGGAGGACCTAGATCACCTAGGCAAGTACCTTCGGAAGTGCGCGCTGTGGGCGCTCGACCAGGCGGCGCACCTCAGGCGCCGTGGGTGGCTGAACAGGTCCCTTCACTCGACCCGGCAGGATGGTGCGTTCCAAGCTACCAGGTGGCCCCTGCAGGAGGCGCCG